GGCTAAGTATAGGCTACAACCTTATGACTATTATTATGTTATGACCATTTGATCGTACAAAGTTGGATATGGCCAACACTGTTGCAGGAAATCTAAAAATCTCAATCACTTTTAGATCAACAAATACATTGGTAATAAGCTAAATTCAGCAGCTGCTTCACTTTATGCATTATATCGATATGGGGAGATTAAATTGCACATATGTGTATAGTATCTTTAATAGTAATGGGCGCTGTTCAATTAAATCTATTTAAAAAGAGATTTCACCTTTTCTATTGAACAGTGTCCAAATTTGATTTCAAAATATTCCAGATTATTTTCACTATAATAACCTCTTTTTGCAATAATCGTATATCGATATATCTTCTGAGAGTACGGACTATATATCTCAGTTTTTAAATAAGGTTCAATAGAAAATATCACTTTTCCTTCTTTATCCTTATACAGTATTTTATCCTTACCATTATACAGTATTTTATCTTTATACGTACAGTATTTTATCCTTATATAGTATAATAAATTATGGATCAAGAACTCATTAAACTTAGTGAAAATATCAAGGCGATAGGAAATACTAGCGAATCTTTATGCGAATCTAGTGTCAATAAAGCACACGTATACTGCACCTTGGTCATGCCTTTTTCTGAATTGGTGGTCCGGAATGTAAAAGAATTTTTTGAAAAATTCGAATATTTTGAAGATTATGAATTGGTAGAAAAGGCAAAACAAAATGATCAGGTGTGTAAGCATACGTTGGAAATTCATGAATATCTTCTCACTGACTTTAAAAACGCCTTAATTTTATGGAATGACCAACATAAACATTGTGAGGAGGAAAAGGAAAAGTTTAAACGCAAACATGACAGAAAAGCTTTCTTGGCTGTTGGTACAGCAGTTATTCCTTATGTAAATTTTGTTGCTGCTCCGACAATTGGTTGGTTTGCATATAAAGATAAAAAAGCTGCAGCTAAAGCGAATGAACAAGCAGAACGTGCAGTTTCCGCGGCCACTGATTTAGGCAATTATTTAATTGCACCCATTGAAAAGTTTATCAATGCCATGATTGAGATTTCGAGATTCTTTGAGATCATTGATAATATTTTTCTTTTTCGTCATAACTCCGAAGAAATCAATAAAGGAGATGTTGTTAAATCTTGTTCGTCTGCAGAAAAAATATTTTTTAATTATAAGAATCATCAAAAAATATCTGACAACAATAATGAACATGTCCAACAGTTGCTTACACGCCAATATGCTAATAAAAATGGTTGGTCATTATTACACATTGCTGCTGCTGCAGGCTGTTTAGAAGTTGTTAAAACTTTGCAAAAAGAAAGTCATAATACTAAGAATAATGATAAAACAGCATTAAACTTAGCT